TTTTATTTATTCACGATAGACAGAGAGAGAGAGAGAGAGGCAGAGACACAGGCAGAGGGAGAACCAGGCTCCATGCAGGGAGCCCAACGCGGAACTCGATCCTGGGACTCCAGGATCGTGCCCTGGGCCAAAGGCAGGCGCCAAACCACTGAGCCACCCAGGGATCCCCTAGATAAAATTTTATACAAGTCTAGTGTCCTCCCTCCCTCCCTATTTCTACTGTGTTAGGAAGATATACAGATTAGTATATTTGAAAAAATGTGAGTTTTGAGCAATTCAAGCTTAGGTAAATCTGACTTGACAGATTATTTTCCTCCTACGTGTCACAAAGTTACAAAAGAAATTTCAACCCACTGAAATTTAAAATTATCTTTTATAGCTTTGATTTCACTTTTAAAATAAGTGCAACTTGAACTTCACAGATGGCTCTTTCTTGTTTTAAATGTTTAATTATGTAAGTAAAAGTCTTCCTTAATTCCTCCCTTGTTATTCAGTGATCTATCCATTTATGTATCACATGTAGAAATCACTTTGTGGGGTCTAAAAAGCAAATGAAAAATTGAACCATATGATACAGTAATTCTACTGCTGGATATTTATCCAAAGAAAACAAAAATACTAACTTGAAAAGATATGTGCACCCTCATGCTCACTGCAGCATTATTTACAACAGCCAAGATATGGAACCAACCTAAGTGTCCACTGATGGATGAATGGATGAAGATAACGTGGAATTTTGTTCAGCTGTAATACAGAATGAAATCTTGCCATTTTTGACAACTTGGATGGACCTTGAGGGCACTATGCTAAGTGATATATCAGAGAGAGAACGATAAATACCGTATGATCTCACCTATATGCAGAATCTTAAAAAACAAATCTGAGCTTATAAGTAACAGACAGATTGGTGGTTGCCAGAGGTGAGAGTTGGGGGGCAAGGGGGTCCAAAAGTACAAACTTCTCTAAGTTTCTATACTACAAATAAGTCATGATGGTGTAACATAAGCATGGTGACTATAGTTAATACTGTATTGCATATTTGAAAGTCGCTAAGAGTAAATTTTAAAAGTTCTCATTACAAGAAAAAAATTTTTGTACAAAAAACGAGTTGATGCAAGTACTGTTTTATACTTTTTCCCTATATTAACTTTTAGAGATTTTTCCAAGACAGTACATACAATCTAATTATTAGCACATACTGTTGTTCCCTAAAAGATGTACCCCACTTAACCATTCCGCTACTGATGATATTTGGGCTAAAACTTTCTATTATAAACAGTGTTGCTTATAAATCCTAATATATATCTCATTGTGTATTTAAAACAACTGTATCTTCAGGATACATACCCACTGATAAAAATGTCTAGATCCTAAGTCATGTGCATTTAAAACTTGTAACAACTACAGTCAGACTATCCTACCAAAAGGTTGAGCTGATGTACAACTAGTATGAGACTTTGGATGCTGCCAGACTCAGGAAAGCACCTGGAAATCCTTGACAGTTTTGTCAGGATGTGGGTAAAAAGAATGGTATTTTATTTCAACTGCATTTTCTTGATTATTAGCGAAGTTCATTATCTTTCCAGATATATATTATTCATTTTCATTTTTTTCTTTATGAATTCTCTAATTAAAACTGGAATGTTCCTGGATCCCACTGACCATGACCATGTTCATCAAGTACTTTTATGTACTCTTCTCTATCTCCCACATACTACAAACTATCCAAGGCAAATCTTACTTTTAAGAAATTTAATTGTAGAAATGAATATACTAAACTTGTTTACATTAGCCATTTTCATCTGCACTTCAATCCTTTATCTAAGGCTTCTACTATAAGCCTGTATTATACTCAAGTAAATAGCAGCTGCTCACAGAGGTTAATTAACTTGTTAGATAGTGACAAAACTGGAATCTGAGTCTGAAGCCAAGGTTTCCACCCCCCATTATCTGTACTATACCAACTGTTCTCTAGGCTTCAACACTCTTAACCCTCCCCTCCTTTGGTTTCTATGGCATAATCTACTCCTGATGTTCCTCCACCCTTTTAAACCATTTTTTCTGTTTCTTTTGCTGGTTCCTCTTCCTCCTCCACGGAATTTCTAGGCTTTAATGTCTCATCTTTACTTCAAGGTTAGAGGGCTACTCTTATTAAACAACAGAACCTTAGAAAATTCCAAATGTAAAATAATGATGAACTGCTTCTTACTCATCACCATGACTTACATAACACTACTCTCCACTGGTGATTCTCCTACAACTGACATGTACATGTGCAACTTTTCAGTTGGCCTGAACTCCCTAATAACCTCCAGCCGTTAAGATCGGTGTTTGCCAGAGTTCAGTCGCTAAACTTCCCCCTCCTACCCTATGGACCCTCTGGGACAAGCTCATCCATTTCTCGTCAACTACCATCTATTCCCTGATGGCTCAAAAGATTTATCTCCATTTGAGGCTGTTTCCTGAGCTTTAGACTATATGTCCAACTGGGGAAAAAAAAACTCACTTGGATGATATTTCATAACCATATCCAAAACTTAATTCATCTTTCCCTCAAAATTTATTCTCCTTGGGGATCCCTGGGTGGCTCAGCAGTTTGGCGCCTGCCTTTGGCCCAGGGCGCGATCCTGGAGTCCTGGGATTGAGTGCCACGTCGGGCTCCCGCCACGGGGCCTGCTTCTCCCTCTGCCTGTGTCTCTGCCTCTCTCTCTATCATGAATAAATAAATAAATCTTTTAAAAAAATTTTGTCCTCCTTTTTATACTCCCTTTCTAATTAACCCAAGTCACTGGAAGTAACTCTAAAATTCTTCCCTCTGGTTGAAGTGATCCTGACTCCTTAATACTTGCAGCATCTATCCCTTCTCTCTGTCCTTGTTGGGTTTCTTCTTTACCTCATTTCTCACCTGAACCACTGGCATATGGAGGGAGCTTGAAAATATTTGTTGGATATAAAATAACACACTTGTCCCACTAGGGCACAGACCATGTCTTACTCATTTTGGAGATCCGGAACTGAGTTGACACACCACCCCAGATATCTACTGAATCAATCATTCCAGGGTTCCATACCTCAGAATCAAACTCTGAGGACATAAGAACCAGGGACCCATTTTTAAAAGCTCTCTGGATGATTTCTATATAGCTAATCCAGCAAAGCCTTTATTATCTTGATAAAAGAGAGCAAATTCAAACAAAGGCAGAAATGGGATTGAATGACTTATTACCTCTATAGAGATCTAGAATAAACAGAACTCCCAGACATAAACAATTCTTGAATCACCTGCTACTATAACCTAAGCACTAACTCAGCATTCTCACTCAGTTAACATACTGCAATAGTGCACTTCTACACTGTATCCCCACAATCTACTCCCCAGACAGCAGCCAAAATGGTATTTCTAAAAGGCAAATCAGAGCACACTACCTTCCCTTCACTCCATCCCAAGCCCTAGGAATAGTTTCTCCTCATAGTTTAAGAACAAAATAAAAAAAAAACTTTACTCTGGTTTACGAAGTCCTACACAATCTGGCCTCTGCCTATCCCTCTGGTCTCATCTCCCACACTCCCCTGCTCTTACTGTCTACACTGCAACCACACAGGCCTTTTTGTTCCTAAAATACACCAAACTTTTTCCAGCCCTAAAATTTCTGCATTTGCTATTTCATCTGCCAAGAATGTTCTCTTTGATTTCATCATGGCTAGCCCCTTTGTTCCAATTCAGCCTCAGTTTAAATGTCCCTCTCAGAGGGGCCTTCTCCAATCACTCAACCAAAAGTAGCCTTTTAGTCACATGCTAGGACAACAATCTATTTTAATCTATCATTTAATTTTAATTTATCATTTGTCAAAAGCTGGTATTCTCCCTGTATTTATTCACTGTCTATCTCATGCCTACAAGAATGTAAGCTCCACAACAGCAGTGAACCTGCCCTGACAGTAGATTCGTTCGTTCATTACTTTATACCCAAGTCTTAGAACAGTTCCTGGCATACAGCTGGTACTCAAAATTTATCTGTAATCAATCTACTCTTATTTGGAGATCACCCATGTTATGATTTTATCCGAGAATAAATAACAAAATTTCATCTTTTTGAACTTCAAAATTCAATCCATTGAATAAAGCCAATTTGACTACATTAATGAGAAAGTATAATTCCAATAAAATTATTTTTCAGATATTCTAAACCAGAGAATTATAAAAAATAACTAGTGTCTAAAAATTACATTCACATCAAAATCAAGTTATATTTTTCCAGATACTAATTCAAAAAAAATCTAAGTTGTTATAAATTTTACTAGCACTGAGGAGGATAAAACCCAACGTCCATCAACCAGTGAACAGATAAACAAAACACTGCCAAGCAGTAAAAAGAATTCTTACTTATGTACATAATGATACAGCTGAATCTTACATTACGCTCCATGAAAGAAGCCAGGCCAAAAAAAAAGTACATACTGTATGATTCTGTTTATACATAAAGTAGTAGAAATAGTGACAGAAAGCACATCAGTGGTTATCTGGGGTTGAGGGGTAGCAAGGAGAGAGTAATAAAGAAAAACTACAAAACTTCAGGGGAATGATGGACATTGTTCATTATCTTGATTGTGGTGACTAGTGTAATCATAGGACAAAACTTATCAAACTATACACTTTATATATGTGCAACTTATTGTCAATTATACCTCAAACTATTTTTTAATTTTTAAAAATTAGATTATGCCCTTGCTTAAAACCCTTCAATGGCTCTCCATCCTCCAATAATAAAAAACAGAAAATTTGCTATAAGATTTATCAGCATTATAAGGGAGTTAACATTTAAATGGAATGAAGAGCAAACTAATGTCATAAGCTGATTTCCAACAGCTAATAAAAACCAAAGACATACTTCAATAGGTTTTAATTTTTAACTTCAACAGATATAAATAATATATTCACAAAAATTAATTTTACATTTCTACATCAAAAAGCTAAATATGTGATAAACTCTCACAATTACCTGTAGAAGGTGGTGATTTCTCTGGGTGTTTTGCATTTAAAAGTTTTCTGCTAATAAATATGTAACCACAGGGACACGATTTACATGCAACAGGAACCTGTACAAAAATAAGAAAAATTATATTACTATTTTTCTATCAAACTTCTCAATGTTTATGTAGTCTCCTGAACTGAATCATAGATTTATTTAAGGAAGTTGGAGTCATAAATTTATTTAGGAATCATGGATTTATTTAAACCTGCCTCCTTACCAACAAATTGAGACTGGTGGTGTGTCCAATACATCTTCACATTCTCCTAATGCTTTACAATACCATGTATATAGAAGATGCATGAAAAATGTGCTGATGGGAGTGACCAACATAAAACCATAACAGAATCAGACCAAGGGAAAATACGTGGGGGAAAAAAGGTAGTATTTCCTAAAATATGTTTGATGGCAGTTTATGTAAATCAACTGGAAAAGGAAACATGGCTGGGAATTAAAGTAATCCCAGCACAAGAATGAGGGCCCAACTCTAATAGTGAGAATGGAAATGGAGAAAGATAGATGCGCCAGACATTTCAAAAGGGGAAAATACTTCTATTATTCCATTTCATTAGAGAATGAAAATACTAATTTGAAAAGATATATGCACCTTTTTGCTTATTGCTGCATTATTTACAATAGCCAAGAAAAGAAAGTAACCCAAGTGTCCATCCACAGACAAATGTATGAAGATGTGATATACATCTCAGGTGTGTATCCACTGAAGTTAGGACGACATGTATGGACCTAGAGATTATGCTAAGGGAAGTAAGTCAGAGAAAGACAAGTATCGACAGATTTCACTTATATGTGAAACCTAAAAAACAAAACTAATGAACAAAACAAAAGAAGAAACAAAGCCATAAATACAGAGAACAAACTGATGGCCTCCTGGGGGGTAAGGGAATGGGCAAAATGGGTGCAGGTGAGTAGGAGGTAAAAGTTCCCAATTATAGAACAAGTAAGTCATGGAGTTGAAAGCACAGGGAATACAGTCTATGGTACTAGAATAGCCTTGTATGGGGACAGATGGCAGCCACATTTATGGTGAGCCTAGGGCTGTCAAAACACCACCTTGCACACCCTGAACTAATGTAACATTGTAGGCCAAATATACTTGTCTTAAAATTTTTTTAAAAGGGAAAGTACTGAAAATGGCTCCTGTACTAATATGAGAGGGCAAGATGCCAATTACCACTGATAAAAAAGAACAGTTTAAAATTACTTTGAGGGCCAAAAGCATACCATAAACCAAAGTGAGTGTAGGAGAAGGTAGGAATCAAGATCTAGCATCTTTTAGTTTCAGCTCCAGGAAGGACATTGGATAAAACACTCAAGCTCGGGGATCCCTGGGTGGCTCAGCGGTTTAGCGCCTGCCTTTGGCCCGGGGCGTGATCCTGGAGTCCCGGGATCGAGTCCCGCGTCGGGCTCCCGGGATGGAGTCTGCTTCTCCCTCCTCCTGTGTCTCTGCCTCTCTCTGTGTCTATCATGAATAAGTAAATAAACCTTTAAAAAAAAAAAAAAACTCAAGCTCTTCAAACTTCTGTTTCTACATGTATAAATTACAACTGCCTCCTTTCCCTATTTCAAGTCTACAATGATTTTTCAAAAGCTAGATGTCATTAAAAATCATTTTTAAAATGTTTGATTTCTCCACAATCATTTCAGTAATATTAACCGTAAAAATCCTTGAAATCACAACATGTTCACCAAAAACCAGGAATTAATCTCAACCAAAAGCACTCACAGAATATTTTATGATCAGAAAATTGCAATTTGCTTTTGTAAGATAAATTCCATTTGCCCACTGTTCTGCTTGTGTAAAAGTTTAGTTACAATTATAAAGCTTTTTATCCAGGGATGCCTGGATGGCTCAGTCAGTTAAGTGGATGACTCTTGATTTTGGCTTAAGTCATGATCTCAGGGTCCTGATTTGAGCCCCAAGCAGGGCTCCATTAGTGGGGAGTTTGCTTGAGGATTTTCTCCCTTTCTCCCTGCCCCCACTTGAGTGCGCTCTTTAAAAAAAAAAAAAAAAAAAAAAAGATTTTTTAAAATTTATTCATGAGACACAGAGAGAGAGAGAGAGAGAGAGAGAGAGAGAGGCAGAGACACAGGCAGAAGGAGAAGCAGGCTCCATGAAGGGAGCCTGACGTGGGATTTGATCCTGGGCTGCAGACGGCACTAAACCTCTGAGCCACCAGGGCTGCCCAAGTGCGCTCTCTCTTTAAAATAAATATACCCCCCCCCAAAAAAAAATAAATAAAGCTTGCTTTCTCTGTGTAAAGAATGCTTCATAGTCCGAAATATAAATACTTGATCTAATTAAGCTAAATTAGTATTTTGGGTGAATTTTCTTTGCATAAAAGTACTAAACAATTTTGCAGGTAAGAAAAATAACATTGAATCCTATAAAAATAGTCAAACTCCAGATAGGCCAAATAGCATGCTTAGCATTAAGAATGTGATGAAATTCTTTCAAGCCAGGACAGAAAATGAAACGTTACATTTTCTAATACTGTAAAACGCATCCAAAAGAAGTTATTTTAAAAATTTCACATCTTCATAGAAACTAAACTCAAAGGTACTGACTCATTTCCTTTACACTTACATCATTAAGGACATTCACTGTAATATAAATTGTTTTAAATTAATGTTATCCAAGAAACACAGAAACATGATGTCCGTATTCAAAAGCTCCTTTGCCACTTGGCAAGCATTTTCTTCCAGCTACTAAAACTGAACAAATTTAAAGTTAAGTCTCTATCTTATATGCAAGAAAAATATTATCAACACATATCCTGAATTAGGAGAGGGCTGCACTTAGATGAGACATGTACATATGACTTTGGCATGAAAGAATGCACAAACACTAACTGATAGGCTGATTTTCACTCCTTAATGAGTCTTCTATGAACAAGAAACATTTATGCGCCTGAGCTAAGTCACCCTAAAACCCCTTTTAAAATGGAAAGCTCCTTTTCCCAACCCCAACCCTGAAAAAATACAACCAACCACCACCACAACCCAAATCCTAGTAAAAGAATTCTTAAATAAGGCGGACTTCAATAATATTAATCTCTTTACAGTATAATTTGCTTTTCAAACATAAATTCTATGTTTCCTTCAAATTTTAGTTGTAATACCAAAGATGATACTAATGAAAATTCTAATGCTATACTCTTAGGGTTTTAAAATAGAAAAAAACCCAAATTTTTGTTTATTGATGACTTCTTGTTTATTAATTTATCCCTCAAAAAGTGCATTTGGGTTATTTATGTTTACAATAAATCACGTAAAAACAAGCAAAACGCTAAAAAAAAGTGCAAAATACATCCTGGTCCTATATTGTTTGATCTTACAAAGTTCAAAATAATCACATTATAGAGAACTCATTTACATTCTTTGGTGCTAAGAGAATCAAAGTGACCTACAGTGGACACGTTTTGCTACATAACACATAAAATTTCCTATAAATAGGAAAAAAAATAGCTGCTCTAATAAAAAAATTAAAAAACAGACACATACACAAAAGATACCAGACAACTAACAAGAATCTTTAATGTGGCTACATACAAAATGGTTCAGTAATGTGAGCTACTGGATGTGAAACCTCTCGAAAATGAAAAGTACTGTGGTTTAGATGTTTCAGAACGGTATTTTCAATGGAGGCCCGATAAAGGGGATGTTATAAAACAACTGAAATCTAGGCCTTGTTTGCTGATCTCTGTACCTGTTTTTAAACCTACACACACATGGACACAGAACATAGGTAAATCTATTTAAGTGGTGCAGTCTTCTCAAACTTTAAAGAATTTACATATTCTTTTATGTTTATAAAGTATACCAAAATTCTATTCTAATATTCATCAAAGACTTAGAATAACAGTAATCTCATGATGTTTAAAAAACAGCTTTCTGGATTATAATTTTTTTTTCTCATTTATAACGATAAGAACCTTGTATTGCCTAATAATTAGCTAAAATTAATCTTTTAAAAAAATAAAATCTTTTATTTCCTTCAGTCCAGTAACTTTCAGTGAAGCAATTTCAAGAATTATCAGAAGTTTTATTTAGTCCTCATGTATACTTTCTTCTCTCAAATACTCACAATAAATAAAGAATAAAACCAACATTTTAAATTATGTAGTAGCTCCCCATGGACTCAACTGTGTCCTCCACTAAATCCAGATGTTGAAGCCCTGACCCCCAATCTCAAGGTACTTGGGAGGTGAGAGGGTCAGGTTTAAAGTCATGAGGGTGGGGCCCTCAAGGTGGATTAGCGGCCTTCTAAGGGAACCAGAGAGTTCTCTCTGCTACAACTCCAACTTCCAGGCTCCAGAACCGTGAGAAAATAAACAGTCTGAGCCACTTAACCTCTGGTTTTTGGTTATAGCAGCTGGGGGCAAGGGGCTGTGGGGTCCTTGGTAAGGAGATGAACGTGTGCTTCCAAATTAAATGTCCAGCACATCTTGTTGAACGATTACCGGGATGCCCAACAAGTTATCGTCCTTCCCTTTTTTTTTTTTTAAAGATTGATTTTCTTTTCTTTTCTTTCTTTCTTTTCCTTTCTTTCTTTCTTTCCCTTCCTTCCTTTCTTCTTCTTTCCTTCTTTCTTTCTTTCCCTTCCTTCCTTCCTTCCTTCCTTCCTTCCTTCCCTCTCTCTCTTCTTTCTTTCTTTTCTTTCTTTCTTCTTTCTTTCTTTCTTTCTTTCTTTCTTTCTTTCTTTCTTTCTTTCTTTCTTTCTTTCTTTCTTTCCCTTCCTTCCTTCCTTCTTTCTCTCTTTCTCTCTCTCTCTCTTTCTCTCTCTCTCTCTCCTTTTTCTTTCTTTCTCTCTTTCTTTCTTTCTTTTCTTTCTTTCTCTTTTAGACATAGAGAGAGAGAGAGGCAGATACACAGGCAGAGGGAGAAGCAGGCTCCATGCAGGGAGCCCGACACGGGACTCGATTCTATGACTCCTTTTCTTTCTTTTTTTTTTAAACAGATATTAAAAACAGGTTATTTTTCTCAAAAGAGTACGTTATGCCAAGTAAAATAAGGTCAAGATTTGCAGTAACTTGTGCCCTACAGAAACTGGAACGCGTGAACCTGCTCCTGGAGCACAGTTAACTGGAACAAATGGAAATGACTTAAATATGGATATAATCTCCTGCCAAAGGGACTTCAATCACAAAACCCAATTCTGCCAGAATTTAACGACTCTAAGTGGCAAACTCAGTTTCAACGGCAAGAACGCCGTCTTCACTCTACTTGGAGGGACACGGCGGAGTCGCCTTTAGCCGCGTAAGCCCGGAGGGTCAGGGAACCGTGTTCTCCTTACGCCCCCCGGCCCGCAAAGGCGTCTGGGTAAGGCGGCAGCACGCGCCCTCAGGCTCGCTCAGCCCGCGAGGTCGCCCTTAACGCACCGACACCAGCCCGTTGGTTCTAAATTAAAAAAAAAAAAAAAAAAAAAAAAGGGATCCCTGGGTGGCGCAGCGGTTTGGCGCCTGCCTTTGACCCAGGGCGCGATCCTGGAGATCCGGGATCGAGTCTCACGTCGGGCTCCCGGTGCATGGAGCCTGCTTCTCCCTCTGCCTGTGTCTCTGCCTCTCTCTCTGTGTGTGACTATCAAAAATAAATAAAAATTTAAAAAATAAAATATTATTTTTTAAAAAGTCTCCAGCCATTTCAAATTACTCCTGATTTAGGAAAAAATATTAAAAAAAGATTTTTTTTTTGAAGAAAAGGGGAGGAGGGAGGTAGTCATTTTGAAAAAAATTCTCTGAGAAAAGCAAGAAAAGAAAATAAAAAAAATCACCCCGAGCCCCGCGCGCGCGGCATGAAATCGGGGCCTCGGGGCGGTTCTCCCCGAGTTCGCGCCCGACCGGCCGCGGGCTGAGGGAACGTCCATTATTCCCGCGAAGCGGGACGCGCGCCTCACGCCGAGAGACGGTTTAAAAACCAGGTTTTTAAAATCACAGCCGTGACGCTGCTAATTCTGTGTGGAAACGAGTCATTCAGGGCTCATGGAGCTACACGTCGGTGACTAAAAAGACCTCGAAGCACAGAAACGCCCGGTTCTGAGGCGGCGGCGGCGGTCACGTCCCACGGACCCAGCGCGGGGGCTCGCGGCCGCCGCCGTCAGGAACGGAAGGAATATGTTCGTGAGGAAAAAAATGTCCAAATTTGGCCAAACTTGAAGGCGCGGCGACCGCGGCCCGTTTGTCACACGGACGCCGCACCCGGCCCGGGAACAAAGCGGCCGCCGGGCTCCCGTGCGGAGGGCGCGGCCGGGCGACCCCCCGTGACCCCCGCGCCCCCGCCGCCAGGTGGGCACCGGCCGGACCGCGCCCCCGTGACCCCCGCGCCCCGGGCCGCCCCCGCCCGGCCCCCACCTGCTGGTCGCACTCGGGGCACGACTTGGTGGCCATCTTCACTTTCTTGGCTCGACTCGCAGACATGCTCCCCTCCTGCAAGGCGGCGGCGGCGGCGGCGGCCCGGGCTCCTCCCCTCCGGCCTCCGCGGCCCAGCCTCCACCCGCCCGCTCCCCGCGGCCCGGACCGAGGCTCAGGCGGGGGCGCGCGCGTGCGCGGAGACTGCGTGCCGGGGGGCGGGGCGCGGCGTGGGCCTGCGCAGCCACGCCCCCTCCCGGCCGGCGGACGGCGCGGGGGCGGGGCCTGGGCGGGGCGCGGCCGGAACGAGCGTCGGGCTGGACCAACGAACGCGCGGGGGGCGGGGCGAGGCGCTGGACACGCCCCCGGGGCGGGGCCTAGCTACGGGGTGGGCGGGTCGGCTCAGAGCGCAGGTGGGGGCCTGGCCTGACGCGCGGAGGTGAGCGGCTCGGGCCCGACGGGATGGGTCCGCCGTGAAGTCCGTACTCACTAGGCGAGTGTGGCCCGTGGCCGGACTAGATTACAGCAGAGCTGGGCTGCTGACAGCAGTAAATTGGTGGACTGTTTGGAATTTCATATCAAAATGTACAATCCTCTTGGCCTTTGACTTAGCCTTATCACCTAGCACCTCTGCCCCTAAGAATCGGTGGAAGAGGTATTTTCCACCTGTACTCAAATCCATTTGTGCAAAGATGCTGCACTTTGTGGCACTGCTTCTCGGAGCAAAATCAGAAACAGCCCAGGTGTCCCAACAACAAACTGCTTGAGCAAATTAAGGCGTGCATACAATATCGCCACAGAGCGATGTGAAGGGATACAGTGATCCCCCACATGGTGTTCATTGGAAAACCTTAAGATTGTGCAAAAATATGAGAATATATTTGTACTTGCATATGCATTAAGACACTGGAGACAAGGAACTGCGGGACAAGAACAGGAGGGAGACTTATTTTTCATTCCATATCCTATTGTAGTATTTGATTTTTCTACTACATCAACCTAGTGTGGCCTTTCACCCATAAAGGGAAAAGGATTTGAACACGACTGTCGAGGTACCAAGTAAGCCAGGTGACCCGCTGTTGAGGGAATTAGTCCTAGAAAGCTTTCTGGAAAAGTCACCGAAGCTGAATCCCCAAGGATGTCAAGGGGAGGTCTCATCAAAAGTGAAGACCTACCAAGCAGACGGCACCTCGTGGTCAGCAATTTGGTGTTGGGGGAACACCAGGTCCAGAGCAAAGAGTTAAGGCTGGGGAGATGGGCCATATCCAGTTATGCAGGGTCTTTGCTACCATGGGGAGAAGTTCAGATTTCATCCTGAGGGCAATGGGGCTATAAGGGTTTTAGGTTGGGGAGTAATAGGATTCGATTTGAATTTGAGAATGATTGGTCTAGCAAGATGCCCCAGGTATCAGACATGAGGAAAGAAAGGTCAGTGAAGGAGAGGGGAGAGATTAAAAAAATATATATGGAGGCCATAACGTAAGGCCTCATAGTAAAACTTGAGGATCAGGGATATTTTCAGGATGACTCTGAAGTTTCTACTGCAAGGACCGGAGGAAGAGGAGTAGCCGTGGAACACGGTGCTACCATTTTCTGAGAATGACATAGGGCACAAATCAGAAATCGGAGCCCTGCAATCCAGGCCCTGAGGAGTTTTCTGAGAGTTTCATTTGAGTAGGTCCTTTTTCTGGAAATCTCCTCAAAAGGCCACTTGGCTGGGGTCGGCAATAAGGGAGAGGTCTTTAACTTAGTGGTTAAGGAGACTGAGAGTTGGCTGACGAACTCCACCTGGGTTCCCCCCGTTCTCTCTGGCTGCCTTCTAGCTGACAGGGCTCGTGTGGCATTATCTCTGGCCAATGACATATAAACCAGGCTGCTGGGTGGGATTTTTCGGAAGGGTTCTGAGTTCCTGGTAAAAATGAACAGATTCATGTCCTTTGACTTTCACACTGTTTCTTACTCTCTGTGGAGCATGAACCTGAGACCCTGAAGGTACAGAAGCCACCTTCTGACAGGAGACTAGGAGGAGGTTATCTATTGTTTTTTTTTTTTTTGAGGTTATCTATTGTTATGCAACAAATGACTTCACAACTTGGTGGCTTAAAACAACAAACATTACCTCGGTTTCTGTGGGCCAGGAATCCAGATGTGGTTCTGCAATCTCCTCTGATGCTCAGCTGGGGGGGGGGGGGGGGAATCTCTTTCTAAGCTCACTCTGGATCGTTGGCAGGCCTCTCTGTCCCTCATCACCTCGTCTCTTAACAACATGGCAACTGTGCGGGGCCTCACAATATGGCATTTTGGCTTTCCCCAGAAAAAAGAATGAGAAAGAATGTGCATGACAGAAGCCACATTCTTTTTATAACTTAATCTCAGGGGCACCCGGGTGGCTCAGCGGGTGAGCGTCTGCCTTCGGCCCAGGGTGTGACCCCGGGGTCCTGGGAGAGTCCCACGTCAGGTTCCCTGCGTGGAGCCTGCTTCTCCCTCTGCCTGTGTCTCTGCCTGTCTCTCTGGGTCTCTCATGAATAAATAAAATCTTAAAAAAAATTTTATGGCTTAATCTCAGAAGTGGCATCCCATTACTTCTGTTTTCTATTAGATGCTAGGGCCGCCTAAGTGGCTCAGGCAGCTGAGCGACCAACTCTTGAGTATGGCTTAGGTCATGATCTCAGGGTTCTGGGATCGAGCTCCGGGTCCCAGCTCCATGCTCAGTGGGGAGTCTGCTTGAACATTTCCGTCTCTCTCTCCCTCTGCCCCTACTCACCCCCTTGCATGCACACGCGAGCTCTCTCTCTCTCAAATAAATGAATCTTACTTAAAAAAAAAAAAAAGCTAGTCACTAAGTCCAGCCCACACACAATGAGAGGAGAGCACACAAGGGCAAGAATACCAAGAGGCAGGCTGCCTACCTCAGATGCCACGCATGGAACCATGATCAATACACTAAGGATGAACAAAAAGCTAGAAAGCACCTGGGACTTACAGCATCGTTAAGTACCTACCCCAGTCATGGCCTGTCTCCCTAGATTCCTTATAATGTAAAAGAGGGAAAACAGCTCAAAATGAGATATAGCCCCACCCCCACGAGAATAGATAAAAATACCATCAGATGTTAGTGAAGGGGGGGCGTATAAAATGGTGTAATCACTTTGGAAAAAGGCCTAGGAAAACTAAATATACACATAGCCTGTGACCCAGTATTTCCAATCTTAGGTATCCGTCCAAAAGAAATGAAAATATATGTCCACAAAAAGACTTGTGCAAGAATATTCATAATAGCTTTATTTATAATAGGCTCAAACTGTGGGGAAAAAACACACAAATGTATCAAACAGGTAAACAGATAAATTGTTATATTCATTTCATGGAATACTAATCAGCTTTTAAAAGGAATAAAATGTTGATACAGCACAATGAATTAATTTCAAGAACATTATGCTTAGTAGAAGAAGTCTTACACAAAAGAGCACACACTGTACAATTCCATTTATGTTAGTTCTAGAACAGGCAAAACGATTCCATGGTAGAAAAAAATCAGAGCAGTGTTTGCTTCCAGCAGGTAAGAGTAGGGATAAAATGAAAAGGTATGAGAGAACTTTCTGGGCTGATAGTAATAGTCTGCACCTTCAGAGGGGTGTTACACAAATGTTTGCATTTATCAAAACATACAGTCAAGATTTGGGCATTCATCAAATTTAAATTTGTAAGAACAAGAACTGTAAGCCAACACGGAACTCTAGGTAATGACATGGCTGCTGAAGCGCTTAGGGTGAAATGAGCTAATATCTGCTACTTTGTATTGAAATGCACTTAAAAAAAAGGATAGCTACGGGAGTAGGGAAGTGATAAAGTCTAGTAAAATGTCAATGGTATGCTTTAGGCGGTTGGCATACAGGTGTTCACTGTAAAATTCAGGTATTTTTTATGTTTGAAAATTTTAATAAATTACAGTAAAGAAAACCTACTTAGGTTTTCAATTATTTGCTATCAACATATTCCTGACTTATACTGATACCAAAACAAGGGCTTTCTACAAAATGGCTAAGACTGGCTCTAACACTTATTCATTCATTTAACAAACATTTACTAGGTACCTACCATGTACTGGATTTTGCGGTCTTGAGGGGGTATGATCTTGGGAACCAAAAACTCCCTGCACGCCTGGGTGGCTCAGTGGTTCAGCATCTGCCTTCAGCTCAGGTTGTGACCCGAGGGTCCCGGGATCGAGTCCCCCACTGGGCTCCCCACAGGGAGCCTGCTTCTCCCTCTGCCTGTGTCTCTCATGAATAAATAAATCAAATCTTAAAAAAAATCTCTATTGTGAATTTTATAATCTAGCAGAGAAGATGACACATACGATTACACAAACATGTAACAACGGTGATCACAGTTACGAAGGAACCATACTGGGGCCCTAAGGCCCCTGACAAGGGGACCTGACCTATAGTGGGGTGGGGTAATCACGTAAGACATCCTTTAGGAAATGTGCGTGACGGGGAGAGCTAATGAGGTGAAGAGCCGTGGTAGCACAGACGGAGTAGTTGGGGTCAAAGGAAGTGAATGGAGGCTACTGTGGCCAAAGCATCAACAGAAAGAGGAAGAGAGCCCACCATCCTGACCGGTCCCGGAAGGGTCTGCTTTCCTCTGGCTTCTCTACCACTTCGCCCGAGGTCTGTCGTGCGGGGGCTGTAGGTGCTCTAGGCTCACTATAAGCAAGGAGACCAGGCAGGAGCTTCTTTAGTAAAAGCCACTATGGACATAATAAACCAAACATCAAAACCACTTTTTAAAATGTTTTTCTTTGTTGTTGTTGTTTTTAAGTAAACCCCCCACAACACAGGGCTCTAACCTGTGACCCCCAGATCAAGAGTTGCATGTTTCACTAAGCCAGGTGCCCTCCAACGTCACTTCTTACTCCCCTGTAATCAGGACCCAAGCTACCTCAGGGATGGGGAGATGGGACATAGCAACCTCCACCTCCACTCCTTCCCTTCTTTTGACAACCAACCAAGGAAGTTTCGAAAGCTTTCTTTTCTGGGAAAGGAAAATAAGAGCAGTAGGACACTTGGCAGCCCTTTGTGTGTATAAAATTTCTCATTTTTCGGGGATCCCTGGGTGGCTCAGCGGTTTAGCGCCTGCCTTTGGCCCAGGGCGCGACCCTGGAGTCCCGGGATCGAGTCCCGCGTCAGGTTCCCTGCATGGAGCCTGCTTCTTCCTCCTCCTGTGTTGTCTCTGCCTCTCTCTCTCTCTATGTCTATCATAAATAAATAAATCAATACATCTTTAAAATTTTTTTTTCTCATTTTTCTTGGAAATCTAATATAGCTCCTAGTTATGAATTTTAAGCTATAGTTTCTACTTTTCCAAAGCAATGGAGCAATGATCATCATGATTCCATGTTGATGCTGTTGACAACATTTATATTTCACATTTTCAAAAAGGAATGATTTTTAAAAAGATACAAATAACTGCCATGGGGCGCCTGGTTGGCTCAGACAGTGGAGTGAGCAACTCTTAATCTCAGGTTGTTAATTCAAGGCCCGTGTTGGGTGTAGAGATTACTTAAAAGTAAAATCTTAGGGACGCCTGGGTGGCTCAGTGGTTAAGCGTCTGCCTTCAGCCCAGGGCGTGATCCTGGAGACCAGGATCGAGTCCCATGTCGGGCTCCCTGCATGCAGCCTGCTTCTCCCTCTGCCTGTCTCTATGTGTGTCTCATGAATAAGGAAAATTGTTAAAAAAAAAAAAAAGTCAAAGTAAAGACAAAGAAAATGAGAAGTCTCATCTTTGTCCTGAAAGGGAGCTTTTCTTTGGTTCCCGTGGGACCAATGATACACTGGGTCGGGGGGCACTTACTGCAGAAAAGCCACAGGCTCAGAGTGACCGAACAAGTCAGCCCCCTTACAGCTGAGTACCTCTGGACGGTCCAGGCCATGCACCAGCCTTCACTGAGACTGAACTCAGCCATGTGGCTGGCCCCGCACACAGAGGGGCCTCCAAGGTGTCCCCTACACCTGACTTTGCCTTTTCTGCTTCTACTTTTCATGGTATTAAATAATATTTATTGGGCAGCTACTCTGTGCCTGTGCTTTATATGAACTGTCCCTCTTCCTCCCCAAGCCCTGCAAGGTGGTTTCATGAACTTTATCTTAGTTAAGTAAAGGAAGGCTCGGGGAGGAGGTATCAGTCAGCAATCTTTCTTTTGCTAACATGGAAAGCCAAGCTCTGCAAAAACGGCTTACGCAGAAAGGGTAATGACTGCCTCACATGAACCAAATGCACTAATGGTTCGGGCCCAGCTTGGTCACAGGAGCCACAGGATCTGCTGTTCTCGGTGCCGCTCAAGTTTGCCCCCTTGTTGGGCCTGGTGAGGGGGACTGCTGGGAGAGCTCACGGCCTGTAGCTGCTCGTTTCCCTGTCCTGCCACAGGTCACTGCTGCTTCTTGGAAGAAACCACCCATCAGGCTGACCCGGGTCATCCGCTGACTGCGTCAGGCCAGCACGCCGTCCGGCCCTGGGAGTCTGACAGGGGTCTGCAAACTGCGGGAAGGGTGGGCGGTCATGAGGCAGCTCCTCCCCACCAGGGACAGACCAGGGAACTCAGGCCACTGCCCCTCTCCGGGGCCATCGGGCCTACCCCAGGCCTTTCTCCCGGTCCTTCCCGCACGTGTGGTTGTAGCCTCGTTCCCGTATAATCGGAGTTCAGTGTCGGCCCTCACTCTCGAGAGGAGGCAGCTGTCGGGCAGGAGCCGCAGAAACACTGCTGAGAGTCCCTGACGACCTGGGGACAGGGCAGGAAGGCGAGCAGATGACCTTGAGCAGGCTGGGCGGCCAGGCCCTCTGCTCATGAAGCCCACGTCACAGCACCAGGCTGCCTCCGTCCAAAGGAAGGGACGTCTCTTCAGACACGCATCCCATGGTCTTTCATTCTTCAGCCACAGTCAATTCTGCTTTAGGACATTTCCGTCCATCTTTCCCTCCGTTCCTCCCCCGGGTCTCTCCCTCCAGTTAAGATCCATCCAGGACGTCCTTGGCGTCCTGAGCTCCTAAGATTCCTCGGCCCTCCTTCACAGAACAGCCGTCGCGGATGGTCAGGAGGAGAGGGACGGGAAGAGGTCACTGACATTAAAAAAAAAAACAAACAATCAGTGTGGGAACCACAGGAAAGAAGGGACTGGCTCCGGGCGACAGAACAGGGATCATCCTCCAAAAGCACCACTGTGTCCCGTCTCCTGTGTACACGGCTTTTGGTATTAGAGACATGCTTTCATTTCTTTATTCAAAAAGTATTTTCCGAGAGCCTGAGAGCTTTTGATGAAGTTGCCCGTCTCCCTGAAGCCCGCTACAGCCCCCTACCCAGATCTTCGCATGGCTGAGCCCTAAGCATCGTTCACACACACATACACTCTGGGTAGATCCTCATTCCTCCAGGGAAGAAGCCCGAAACTCAGGGGTAGCTTGTAATTTTCCAGAACCTTAGGTACCTGTAGGTCTTCACGTTCCGCCAGAGTCTGGGAAGCTATTAAGTTGAGAAATATGAAAGTGGCTTTACGTAAAAATGAAAATGTTGTATTTTTCAGAAAAAGAAGTTTTATTCGAGCAAAATACACAGTTACCATTCACTACTTTCCCCCAATGATAAATTTCTCCAAATATTACATATTTATAAAATTCAGCATTGTTAAAATTTATTCAAATCCTTCAATTACTGTTGTCTATTGGAGAATGTTCTGTTTCTTGGAGTTCCAAATGGTAAAAGAGGTGGTAATCTGTTGAAAAAAGGTCAGGTGAGTGTGATGGATTTGGCAAAAGTCCTTGGCCCAATGCAGTTACTCCCTTTGGTGGTCTGGGGTTTCAGTGGTCAAATGATGGAAAAGTACAGGTCCCTCCATACCTGCTCACCAATGCAGCGCTTTTAGACCCATTTTTGACAAATAGTTTCAGCTTCTTGACAAAAAGATGCTACTATTAGTTTTGTCTGAGTCAAAAGCAATGAAATACTCTCTTGGCGGACCACCACAGAGTTACCAGAACCTTTTTTTGATTGCAGTGATGGTTTTTTTTTTTTTTTTTATTTTATTTTATTTATGATAGTCACAGAGAGAGAGAGAGAGAGAGAGAGGCAGAGACACAGGCAGAGGGAGAAGCAGGCTCCATGCACCGGGAGCCCGACGTGGGATTCGATCCCGGGTCTCCAGGATCGCGCCCTGGGCCAAAGGCAGGCGCCAAACCGCTGCGCCACCCAGGGATCCCTGCAGTGATGGTTTTAACACGTTTGGAAACTACATCAACATCCAATCATTGTCCAGACCACTATTATTTTTTTTGTCAAAGTTTAAGATTTCTCCAAAATAGAAATAGGTCTCTGCTCTTTCAAATCCAAAGGTAAGAGCACACCTGTAATCATCTCCGTTTATGATCATCCGTCAGTTGGTGTTACCTACCCACTTGTCCAACTTTTTCACCTTTCCTATTGCAGCCAGGTGTCGAGAAATTGTTGTAGCAGAAACTCCTAAGTCTGCCGCAAGGCCTCGAATTGCTGTTTTGGGGTTAGCTTCCACCATGGCTCTCAGTTGATCTTCATTTAAAACAGATTTGGGTCTTCCTCGAGGCTCATTTTTCAGACTCAAATCCCCAGAACGAAATTTTTCAAACCACCACCGGATAGTCCTCTCACTAACAGAGCCTTTTCCAAAGACAGAATTGATGTTTCTACTTGCTGTGGCTGCACTATGTCCTAGTTTAAATTCATATAAAAATAGTATTCGCAAATCTTTCAAAGACGGGGCACTGTTCACTTCTGTGGAGGAAACAAACAATAAAGACTCAGCCATCAAAGGCCATAATATCATCAGGAATACTACACAACGCAACTGAAAATCAAGTTAATCAATCATGGTCAATCAAGCTTTGACTTGTCAAATCTCAGCAATTTCATCTGGAGGATGCATGTTTTTATCGCTGTCCTCCTGCCAACAGCTTCCAGCAGGCAGATGACTGTAAGTAGGAATACAATTTCCAGTAATCTGATAAGCACTGCCATAAAAGAAATGCTTTTGAACTAAAATAGGAGTTGTGCTCTTACGTCTAGGAACTTAATGCCTGCCACACAATATTTCCAGTGCTATCAGATTAAGGTCTCAGATCCACCTAATGCTTGGGGGAAAAAATCCTCCCATAATGGGTTGATAAATAATTGCTTCCAATGTTTTCTGACAAAAGTACTTGTAGATCTTCCTCTTCCCTGCTTGGTATGATCTGAATGACTGCCACTTCACAAGTTCTTTACGTTTTCTAGATCCTTATTTATTATGGAATTTTTCTTATTTTGCTTATTTCACTTTCTTGGGCTTCATAGTTAATTTTGGTGTAAATGAATAAAAATGATATTTCAGATATATGAAAGAACTGTTTTCCATTCTCCCCTGGTAGTCACGTATTCTAAATGGTACTAGGGTCCACTGGCCACTAGACTTTTTAAAACTAAGACCATAACATACACATGCCCTAAATCTACCAAAGGGGTAGAGAAAGAAAAAAGAAGAGGGGGAGAGAGAGATTGATTCAGCAGAATTCAAATCTAGACAATGTTTGGGAGAAATCTTGGGGTATGAAGAGGGGAGTTCTTCTTTTCAGCAGCTTTAATTCCAGTCCCTTACAAGTACATATTCCTCCAATAGTAATTTTTCTCCCTTTTTCCTCCCCTATGCTTCCAAGATGGTAAAGTGGAAAGGGAAAGGTTTCTATTCCTTTCTACCATCACTTGAGTTCTAAATTATTTCAAATAAGTTGATGTCTTCCATTACAAAAGCAGAAAAAAATTCTGACCTCAATCACAATATATTGTTACCAAAAAACAAACAAAAATACATATTGCAACTGTAAGATAAATATCTGGAAAGTGAGTAGCTTTATTTTAGACCCTAATACCCTGAGAGCAATTATCCCATTGTTCATAAATGGAATAGGAATAGGGGAGAGAGGTTTCCCATCAATATAGTAGATTTAATTAATGCAAGAAGCCACCTCTTCCACTTCAAACGTGCTAGTTGAGATATAAGTGAAAATCAAAACTTGTTTTAGTACAAAGCTAAGTCCAAAAGGAAAAGAGAATTTCCCAAATGCAAGAAAGTGAGAAAAGCTTAAAAAAAAAAAAAAAACCCACAGTGGTGAAGGGACACATGAATAGAATTTGTATCTCAAACTACAAATAATGGAACAATCTGAAAGAGACATTATAAGACAAGTTAAAAAAAGACATTTTAAATCATGCCTTTAATGTTCAAAGAGAAAACAGAAATAGATTTCAATAAACAAGAACAGATCATTGTAAAAAAAAAAATTCCCACATACTTGTCACATCTCCTTCGTTTCCTCTAATCTCTGAGAATGCTTTGGTCTTCCCTTAATTTCCATGACCTTGACCTTATCAAATATACCTTGTCTGGGTATGGCTAATGTTTCCTGATGACTGGACTAAGGTCATACATTTTTGGCAAGAATACACAGACATGACGTATCCTTTCTAGTGCATGGTATCATGGGTTTCAAGATGTGCATATGCTTTATTATTGTGATGTTCACCTTGATCACCGACTAAGATAAATTCTGGCAAGTTTCATCCTAGTAAAGTTATCTTTCCCTTTGTGATTAATGACGATCCTGGGGGACATACTTTGAATCTACCTAAATTTTACTTATCCTCATATTTTCACTAATTTTACAATCAATTGGTGGATCTTGTCTGCAACAATTATTACTGTTTTGCTAATTCTTATTTTCTATTTCCCTCAATCCATCCATCCTTCCACAGGTATTAACTGGAATTCTACTATAAGTGAGAAATGTTCATTTCCCATTTTATATCTGTATCAGTATGCACTCACGGATATTTACTTTATTATTCTATGGAATATAATCCAATGATTTCATTATTTCTTTTGCTCAAAGTGCTCCAGCTTTGTCCATTTGAACCACCTTCTTCTTTCTTTCTTCTTTCTCCTTCCTCCTTCTCCTTCTTCTTCTTTTTTTTTTTTAGTACTTTGTTATTACCTGGCACACATCAAGGTGTTCCAAGCACCTTTAGTATTTTCTATGTCAGTCCTGGAATCAACCACTTCTCCAAGAAGTGGAGAATCATACTAAATCATAAAAACCTGGATCCTACGTTTGTTCATTACTGCTGGGGTGTCATACCATTTAGTCACTCTCAGTGGACACAGCTAGGAAATACATGCATAGTAACCCACCCATATACTGATATTTCGGATTCCAAACTGACCCAACAGAGTTCATTTTAGCCTTCTCCTTTCTATATTTGTGAGAAACCTAGTTTTTGTTGTCTAAAACATATTTACCGATTTGTTCAATTTAAGTGAACACATATGGCGATTTTGGAATTGCTAATTTATGCCCCTGTGACAAATATATTTACTGGCTACATTACAGCATTAATCTGCAGTTCTTTTTTATCTTCACCATTACAGCATCCAATCAAGAGGTTATTTTCCAGAACAACTTGGAATAAAGTTTTCTTCCCCATCCCCTTTAATGTCACTCCTTCCTCATTCCTGATACACAGTTCCCATCTCCCCAGTGTTTTGCACCCCTTTCCCACCTACCCCCCACAGGTTACCAATCACATCACTTTAGTTTCCAGTTTATCCTCCCAGTATTGATTTTACGCAAATGACTGATACACGTGAACTGTCTTGTATCTTTTTTTTAATATTCATAACTTTCTGAGTCTTTTAAAAATTTTTTTATTTATTCATGAGACACACACAGAGAGGCAGAGACACAGGCAGAGGGAGAAGCAGGTCCCACACAGGGAACCTTATGTGGGACTCGATCCCGGGACCCCAGGACCACGCCCTGAGCCAAAGGCAGGCGTCCCTATCTCCTTCTTTCTTAAACAAAAGTTCATACTATAAATACTCCTGTGCTTTACTTTTGTCACTTAACAGTATATTATCTGAGAAACACTCTATATCAGTTGATACAAATCATTCTCATCCTTTGGTTTTTTTTTTTTATAGTTCCATTATTCCACTAAATGGATATACCATAGTTTAATCACTTTGCTTTGTGTGGGCATTTAGACTGTTTCCAATACTTTGCAATTAATTGCATTACAATGCTGTAGTGAATTTCTTGTGCATATGTATTTTTGTATCGTTGGAGGTATATCTTAATGGTAAAAACCCAGAAATGGGAAGAGGGGCAAGATGGCGGAAGAGCAGGGTCCCCAAATCACCTGTCCCCACCAAATTACCTAGATAACCTTCAAATCATCCTGAAAATCTATGAATTCGGCCTGAGATTTAAAGAGAGACCAGCTGGAATGCTACAGTGAGAAGAGTTCGCGCTTCTATCAAGGTAGGAAGACGGGGGGGAAAAGAAATAAAGAAACAAAAGGCATCAAGGGAGAGGGGCCCCGCCAGGAGCCGGGCTGAGGCCGGGGCGAGTGTCCCCAGGACAGGAGAGCCCCGTCCCGGAGGAGCAGGAGCTGCACCAACCTTCCCGGACGGGCGGAAAGGGGCTCGCAGGGAGTTGGAGCAGGACCCAGGAGGGCGGGGATGCCCTCGGGATCCCTGGGACACTCACAGACACCTGCGAGCGCAGGAGAGTGCGCCGAGCTCCCTAAGGGCTGCAGCGCGCACGGCGGGGCCCGGAGCAGCTTGGAGGGGCTCGGGCGGCTCCGCGGAGGGGGCTGCGGGGCGGGAGCGCAAATCCAACAGCGCAGGCCCCGGAGCACAGGGCGCCAGGACACAGCCCAGGATCCGGCCTCCCCCCGGGACAGGCAGAGGCTGGGAGGGCCCAGGACAGCAAGGACGCTCCTGCCCCGAGCTGAGCAGATCAGCGGCCCCGCCCCGGAGCCTCCAGGCCCTGCGGACGGAGAGCCCCGGAGTTCCTGCGGAGGCTGAATCCAGGGCTCCAGAGCTGCCATAACCACTGTGGCTGTTCCTCCTGGGGCCCCACGGGGTAAACAACCCCCGCTGAGCCCTGCACCAGGCAGGGGCAGAGCAGCTCCCCCAAGTGCTAACACCTGAAAATCAGCACAGCAGGCCCCTCCCCCAGAAGACCAGCTAGACGGACCAGTTCCAGGGGAAGTCAAGGGACTTAAAGTCTACAGAATCAGAATATACTCCCCCGTGTTTTTTGTTTTTTTTCTTTTTTCTTTTCTTTTTGATTTCTGATTGCTTTCCCCACGCCCCCTTTTTTTTCACCTTTCTTTTTCTTTCTCTTTTTCTTCTCTTTTTTCCCTTCTTTTTCGTTTTTCTCTTTCGCTTTTCTTTCCTTCTCTCTCTTTCTCTCCTTTTCCCAATACAACTTGTTTTTGGCCACTCTGCACTGAGCAAAATGACTAGAAGGAAAACCTCACCTCAAAAGAAAGAATCAGAAACAGCCCTCTCCCACAGAGTTACAAAATCTGGATTACAATTCAATGTCAGAAAGCCAATTCAGAAGCACTATTATACAGCTACTGGTGGCTCTAGAAAAAAGCATTAAGGACTCACGAGACTTCATGACTGCAGAATTTAGATCCAATCAGGCAGAAATTAAAAATCAATTGAATGAGATGCAATCCAAACTAGAAGTCCTAACGACGAGGGTTAACAAGGTGAAAGAACGAGTGAGTGACATAGAAGACAAGTTAATGGCAAAGAGGGAAACTGAAGAAAAAAGAGACAATTAAAAGACCATGAAGACAGATTAAGGGAAATAAATGACAGCCTAAGGAAGAAAAACCTACGTTTAATTGGGGTTCCCGAGGGTGCCGAAAGGGCCAGAGGGCCA